TTGAGGGGCAGTGGGAAGCCAAGCCGCAGGGTGGGCACACCCTTCGCCCCCTTGCGGCAGGCCCAGCGCTGCCACCTCTGCCCCTGACTCCCAGAGCAGCAGCTTTGTTGAGGCTGCCCGCCTGGCCCAGAGGCTGGCGGGACCGTCCCAGGGCTGCCTCTTCCCTTTTGAATGGGCCCTCAGACCGTGGGGCCAACTGAAATGGTCCGCTGCACCATGCTGATGGCGCTTTATTCCCAGCTCTTGTGCAAGCGACGTTATCGTGAGGTTATGAGATTCTCTTGTAGGCTTCTCCCAGCTTCTCTGCTCAGTTGGTTCTGACTGAGGCGGCCTAAAGCCTGTGGAGAAAACGGAGAAATAAATAAGCTGGCTGGAGGATCCTTCAGTGGATCTGTGCTGCACGCACACACACCCCGGGCTGCGCTTCCACCGGATGGGAAAACAGGCAGAAGCAGAACGGAGCTCCTCCGCTTTTTCTTGCTCGTCTGCCGGAAGGTCCCCGTTGGAGGGCCCTGTGAGCCCACCGCCTCCTTTGACTTCCTCTGGGGGTTGACAACGTTGAAGAACCCCCCTTGCCAGCCTCGGCCTCCCTTGTCTGCCTAACCTCGCTCTCTGCCTCCTGGACCTCCCTCCTGCCTTCCGGTCGGAAGCTCGGCAGATTCTTTGCTCCTTCCAGCCCCAAGAAGTCTCGGCTCCTTCCTGGGCAGCCTGTTCAGCCCCACTGGCTCCTCCAGTGGGTCCTCTTCTTTGCTGCTACGGGTGGAGACTGGGCTAGCCTTAATTCCCTTTTCAAGCAGTTCCCCCCACCCACCCCAATGTTCCGCTGGTGGGACCCACAATCTGATTAACTTGGCATCCAGCTGTCTTTGCTGGTTGTCGAAATGTGGAGATGTAAGATAATGGCTTAGACCTCCTGTGTCCAGTCTCCCCTTTCTGTTATGTTTTTCCTTTTCTGGGGTCACACTAATAAAACGCTCCACTTTGCTGCTGCGCTCAGTCCACGTTTGCCACTTTGTCACCCGTCAATGCTCTTGTTGCTCCCCCGCCCCCTTACATCCTGCGCTGAAACTCTCCTGACCAAGTGAGCTGGCCACCATCCAGAGATCTTTCTCTCCTCCTTGGTGAGATGAACGCCATCTGGGCGAAGCAGCCCTTCCTCGTCAGGTTGGTGGAGGACGCGAAGGGGGAGGCCTGCCCAACATGCAGGCAGACAAAAAGGGAGAGTCTGATCCGACTGGCCGGAAAATGGCATCTTTTAAAGAGAGAGAACTATCAGCTGCTGCATTACTTCTAGGGAGGAAAAGTACGGGCAGGATCACAGTTTGGAAGCACAGCCTCTGAGAAGGGCTTGCGTGTGGTCCCCGACCACGAGCTGAGCACGAGCCGTCAGTCTGAGAGAAGCTGGAAGGACTAACGTGGTGCTAGGCTGCATCAGGAGAAGCGTCCCACGGGAGACACACGGAGTCCCCCTTCCCCAGGCCACACCTGGAGTCCTGTGCAGGATTCTGGGCACCCATTTCCAGAAGGACATTGGCAGGTAGAGCAGGTTCAAAGCAGGGTGGCAAAGATGACACGGGGATTGAGGATGTGTCTTCTGAGGACAGGCTGGAGGACCTTGGGATGGCCAGCCTGAAGTAAAGAAGGCTGAGGGGTGCCAAGGGGTGCAGCTCCAGGGAAGATGGTCAAGACTACTTTTCACGGAAGGCCACAGAAACTAGCGCCAGAAACAGCGGGTCTAAGCTGGAGTTACCTACATTTCATTTAAATACAAGGAAAAGCTCTCACGGGTGACTTGGCTTTCCTGCACACTGCGGAGGGTTGGAGAGATGATCCTGGTGATGCCTTCCAGCATGCCATTCTACCACATGGGGCCAACTAACCTGCTTCCTTCTGCCCACTGGGCTGGCTCAGCTGCTGGAGGAATGGCGGCGCCCCTCCCACCCAAGCCAGCCCTCGGCCTTTCTGTGGGGCGAGGAGGCTGCCTCACCCTTCAGGTCAGCTGGGGACAAAGGCTGGATGTGCCAAGCCAAAGGAGTCCGCTGCTTGGGAGGCCTGGTGGGAAGAAAGGGAGGCTCCAGTCGCGTGAGGCTGAGCTGGCAGGTGCCTGAGGATGAGCCAGGCTGTGCTGCATGCCATCAGGGCACCTGCCTCTGACAGCATCATCCACAGCCAGGTTAGCCAAGAGGACACAGGGATGGGGAGGTGGAGGCGACCCAGGCAGGGCTCCTCCGAGAAGAAATCAGCCCCTGGCAACATCAGAAAGGAAACACTCCCACATCTTTAATGCCTCTGCACTGGGGAGTTCAAAAGCTCACCCCAATGTCCTCCTTGCACAGGAGTGGTGTGTGTGTGTGTGTGTGTGTGTGTGATCCATGCCAACCCTGTGTGCCAGGCTGTGTGGACTGGGCTAGGCACGAACAGGGCACAAAGCCTGTCCTGTCACCAGGGAGGAGGCGAAAATGCTGCCGATCCAGCTCGGCCGAAACCTGGCAAGGAGCTGAGTCAGCCCCTGCGGGCAGAGCGGGGTGCGCGAGAGCTGAAGCGGCCTCCTGCCGCCGCCGCAGCTGCAGCCCCACTTGGCAGGGAGCGGCAGACACGCTGTCTGTCGCCAGAAGCCGGGTGCAGGCCGGGCCCCAAGAGGCGCTGCCAAAGCCAGGGAGCAGCTCAGACAGTCCTCCTGCGACCTGTGATTGTGGGGGGGGGGGCGGTCAGCGGAGTGGCTCCAGCTGGCCTGCCCGGGATTTCTGAAGCAAACCAGCAGGGCAAGGGATCCGTCCCATCTGCCTTATTTGCTCCATCAACACAGTGTCCTGCTTGCCCACAAATAGAAATAGTAATTTTGCAGTAGAAACGCACCTGGTCGGTTTTAAGATGATGCACGCCTGGGAGCAATTCCACCTCAGCAGGAACCTGCTGGAAGGGCCACCCCCCTCACTCCACTCGACACCTTAAGTCACTCTCACACACACACCCTTGGGTGGACTCTGATTCCACCCCACCACACTCGAGCAGAAAGCAAGCGCGTAGCCACACAGCTAGCTCAAAGGGGCAGTGGGGAGGCTGGTTGTGGGTCAGGCGTGGCAATGCAATTGCTGCAGGGTTGGCTCCCACGCGAGGCCCTCGACCCACACCAGCCCTCCTGCAGCTGGCCCTGGTCGCCCGTCGCGGCACTGGTTGGACCAAGAGGCACCTGCTTGCTCGCTCACTCGCTCTCGGATGGCTCGATCCAAAAAGGAGCAGAACAAGCACCGCAGCTGGTGTTACGTGTTCGCCTAACACGATCCTTAATTTTGCTTCTCAGCACAGTAAGTAAAAGGAAGCAAGAATTAAGAACAAGTAAATCGGAGGTCACCTGCTCCAAGGCGTGGGGGTTTGCCCAAAGGCGAGAGAGGGGCTTCCGCCCGCTTCGTGCTGGGACGTCAAGGGAGACCTGAGAGCAAGGCGAATGCGGCGAACCGGCAGAAGCCTCTGGGGTGGGGACAGAAGGGGTGGGGATAAGAATGAGTGGGGCTGAGCGAATGCAGAAGAGGCCCTTCGAGAGGGTTGGGTCCCATGAAAGGAACGCATCGCAGGTGCATAGACCTGCAGGCCTCCCAGAGCAGCCCAACCCCCGTGAAGTGGGGGAACCCGGACCCCGGCACTCCCAGGAAACGGCTGCCGGTCCCCACCGGGGAGAGCCGGAGCGTCTCTGGGCCTTTTTCTCACATTCTGCTGGAATCCGCCTTTCTGTAACTTAGATCCATTGTTCGCGTCCTCCATCATTCTTCCGTGGGATATC